CCACCCCCCTTTCTGTTTCCGGTTGTTACCTATGGGAGGCCACCCCTTGTCGCTCTGCTTGCCAGACTCACAGCTTGCTGCAATTGCAGTATGATATTACTAAACATATCCCTGCTTGTGATATTTAATCAGGGGTCGTTTCATAGAAAAAGAGCTAGGGGAACTCATTAGCATTACTCATTAGCATATGCCACACACCCTGAATTCACTGGAAGTGTGTCATAAGGCCACACCCCCTGACATCACCGGAAGTGTGTCATAAGGCCACACACCCCGCCCCCAATGGTCCTGGCCGCCAGCGGCGGCCTTGCAGCTCCACTGCCAAGCCCCATGAGGGGCCCGGCGGTGGACCTGCAAGGCCGGCGGGAGTGCAAGGAAGCCCCGCAAAGGCCCTCCCTGGCCCCAGGCAGGCAGGGGTGGGGAGAGGCAGGGAGGAAGCAACTTACCCTCCCTCTTCTCCTGCCTCCTCCTGGCTGAATGAGGGCCGGAAACGGGGCGGCCGGAAGCAGGGGGCGGGGCTTCGTCATGTGCCCCGCCCCCCGCACCTCACCCGGGGGAACTGCGATCCCCCCCGAAATGACCTCTGTATTTAATGTCAGTTTCAATACTGAATGAGCAATGCTGCCTAGGGGTTCCCATCCTCCAGACTAGAAGGAACACCGAGTATAGATCAGTCGATAGAAAAAACAATCACAGGGAAACAAAGCGCTGACCAAACGAACTTTACAAAAAATATTTAGAGGTCTGTTTCCTAGTGTACGTTATCACTTCAGCAAATTCATACAGGTACAAACGGCAGTAATTTGCAGCACTAATATACGAACTGAAGGTCTGCTAATACAGAAAGAATAGTCTTAGTTCACAAGACAGAATGCGGGGACACAGAGCAGCTTACATTCTCTCCTTCCCTCCGTTTTCTCCTAACAATGGCCCTGTGAGTTAGGTCTGGCTGAGAAGGTCTGACTGGCCCCAGGTCACCCAGGAAGCCTCCCTGAAAGAGTTCTGGGAGAGCCAGTTTGGTGTAGTGGTTAAGAGCGTGGACTCTAATCTGGGAGAACCGGGTTTGAATCCCCACTCCTCCACTTGCACCTGCTGATGTGACCTTGGGTCAGTCACAAGCTCTGGCACAGCTGTCCTTGAAAAAGAGCAGTTTGTGTCAGAGCTCTCTCAACCCCACCCCCCTCACAGGGTGCCCGTTGTGGGGAGGGGAAGGGAAAGGCATTTGTAAGCTGCTCTGAGACTCCAAGTGAAGGGTGGGGTATAAATCCAGTGTCTTCTTCTTCTTCGAAGCTGGGTCTCTTAGATCCTGAACATCCAAAGGAAGTTTAGAAAACTAGTCAAGGGTGCGTCTTTTCGTTTTGGCTCTTGCTTGCTTGGTTTAGTTTCTTTTCCCCTCTTTTTTTTGGGGGGGAGTGTCTCTTAGATCCTGGTCAGACGCGCTAACCACTACACCACACTCTTATCGGATAGCTCAGGGAGGTTGCTAAATCCCTTCTGTTTTTTAGATGGAAGATATTTCCCACCCACCATGTCTGTGTTGTGGCCCTTTCCGGTCGTCGTCTCATGAATAAACCTTTGCTTCCATTGCAAGTAGCAGAGGGACACCATAGAGCTAATTTGTGCCAGGATGGTTCAGTTGCCTTCATTTTTGGCATTGCAAGTCCCCCATCATCCTGATGTTAGTGGCCAATATTGAGGTGCCTAGCTTTATTTTTCATTAACTGTGCCTTTCACCGTCAGTCCTCGCTTACAGTGCAAAAAACACATGGTGGGGGGGAGTCTTGCACGGTTCAATACGTTCCAGTTCCTTCTGTGTTTGGCACAGCTTCTGGGGGTCACCCCATTTCCCACCATATCCCCTACCCCCATTCTTCCTGGCAGTCCCCATACCTTCATGTTTCTCTGTCTCCTTCCCTCATTCTTCCCCGACAGCCTCTACCTGGGGAAAATCTGGCCCAGTTATGCTGTGCCCAACCCAGCCACTAGGGTGTGCCCTGTTGCATGGTGCCAGCTGGGCTGGGCACAGTTGTCCTGCAGGGAACCTTCAAGGACTTGTGGGGGAGTCCATTTCCCTCCCCCCCCGTATCCCCCCTCCCTGTACTATTTGTCTTTATTTGCCTGCCTCTGCATGGTCCAGTTTTCATGTTTCCTTCTTGAGTACTGTACTATTTATTTACTTTTTCGCTTTCTACCCCACCCTCACTGCAAGACAGGCTCAGGGAGGCAAACCGACCTGTCTTTTAACTGTTCCCCCCATGTTCATTTTTATGGATAATTTGTTTGCTTTATGCTCTACCTTTCTTCCCAATAACAGTTCAGAGCAGAGTGGGAAATCTGAACTCCCTTTCGGAACTCCCTGCTCCTCCAGTTTATCCTGACAACAACCCTGTGAGGGAGATTAGCATGTGTAGTTGTGTTTGGGCCAAAGTCACCCAGTTTGCTTCCAGAGCAGAGTGGGAAATCTGAGTCAGAGTCTCCCAGGCTATATTCTGGAACTCTAACCAGTAGACCACACTGGCTTTTGCAGTATGGTGGTGTTTGGTGTAGTGGTTAAGTGCGCGGACTCTAATCTGGGAGAACCGGGTTTGATTCCCCACTCCTCCGCTTGCACCTGGCTGGATGACCTTGGGCAAGCCGTAGTTCTGATAAGAGCTGTTCTTGAAAAAGAGCAGTTTCTGTCAGAGCTCTCTCAGCCCCACCTACCTCACAGGGCATCTGTTGTGGGGAGGGGAAGGGAAAGGAGTTTGTAAGACGCTCTGAGACACCTTTGGGTAGTGAAGGGTGGGGTATGAATCCAATCTCCTCCTCCTCCTCCTCCTCCTCTTCTTCTTCTTAACAGTAGCAAGCAGCCAGTTGTGTGTGAGTCATGCAAGTCATGTGGTGCTAAATTGTTGCTAAATAAAGTGCTGCTTTATTTAGTTCCGTGCCGGCCCCATTACCACGGAAATGTCTTCGGACAGCGCTGGCTCTTCAGCTTTGAAACGGAGATGAGCACGGCAACCCTAGAGTCAGATTCGACTGGCTTTCGAGCAAGGGAACCTTAAAGTGCTGCTGGCCCTGGCCCAGGAGAGGATCAATAGGCAAGCCTCTCCTGTGTGATTGAGAGTCTCTGGTAAAGAACTCGCTGAGGCTCCTCCCCCTCCTCTTCCCAGGGGAAGGGAGGGAACAGCCAGAGCTCACTTCCTGGCCAGGCTGCAGGAGACAAAGGGCAGCCTTTCTTTCCTTCAAGCACCTTTAAGACCAACAATGTTTTGTTCAAGGTATCAGCTTTTGTGTGCCTTGCTACAGTGTGTGTTTGTGTGTGTGTTGTTAGGCTCTTTATGCCAGGGCTCTCCTGGGTACAACTGGGTTCCCTCCCCCTTTTCACTGTATTCACGCCCTCATGATCCAGTCTTTCTCAGTAAGAAAGCAATGTGAACTATTTTAGAGGAGGAATAACAACAAGCCAGTGATGTGGATTAGACTGAGAGGGTGTGTCCAGACCAAGTTCACCTCCTTTGTAGGAAGTTGTATTTATTTATCTGGGGAAGAGTATAGTTTTGTAGACAAACACATGGCCCTCATTTATGTTAGGATGCCTTCTCGTGTTCTTGACCAGCACATGAAGCAACTTACGTACAAAAGGTTGCAATGCCCAGTCATTTCATGTTTTCCCCTGGGTCCTAGGATAGGAACACTGAGCATGAGATTTCTGTAATGAATGTCAGTAAATCAAAAGTAGGTTTGCAGCTTACAGATACATACCTGAACAACATTCTCAAGATTGCTACAGCACAGACATTTTGATGCAATAATTCAGAGCAGAGGTATCAGTTATCAGAGACTGTTAAATAGACAAAATATTGCAAGATTGCTAGTGTTTTAAGCATGTTTTATTTAAGTTAAAAAAAAACCATTTTGTTTGGGTTCTTTATAAAGTTTATATCTCCACTACCCGGCATTACGTTTTATGACACACATGGCCCGGCCCAACAAAGTCTCATTTATTTCAGATCCAGCCCTCATAACGAATGAGTTCGACACCCCTGCTCTAAAGGGTGCTGTTGCCTGCCTCTGCCTCTAACTGACAAAAACCAAGGCTTGTAGGCTGACAATACTGTGTGGTAACATTGTGATGGCCACTGTATTCCTTATGTTACAGGCACTGCTTCCAGTATTTTGGGCTGCTAAAACTCCCCAATGCCCTTTCCCCAGATTTTTCTGCTAGCCTGAGTCATTTTCCAAGTTTGCAGAAAGACCGTCTGTCCATCTTTCCAATCTCTGGATTTTAAGTGTTTCCAAATTGTATGTTTCAGTAAAATTGAAGGGTTTTAAAAACATTTCTTATTTTATTTTTTGTGTTCCCTAAATCAACACCAGATAACATATTAACCTTAAAGGGATCTCAAGAGCAAGTGTCTGCAACAGAAGCAAATAATCCCCTCCCTGTTCTTTAGTAACCATTTCTCTTTTTCAAAGACATCCTGGTGTGTGGTTAAATATTGCCCCACGCTCTCATAAAAAGTACTGTTCACTGCTCAGTTTGCTAACTGCTTTTTGTACCTTTTCATTCCAGCCAGTTTGGTGTAGTGGTTAAGTGTGCGGACTCTAATCTGGGAGAACCGGGTTTGATTCCCTCGGGAAGGAGACTTGTGAAGAAAGACGACAGTCTGCAGGTGGAAGCAAAATCTGGGGATCAAGTGGTATCAACAGGACAGTGCAGAAAGAAAAGGGACGCAAAAGAGAAGCAAAGAAAAGAATTGGTTGCTTCTCATGGTAGAAAGAAGCCCGAGGTCTCAGCCCAAGATGAAACAGGGAGGAAAAAAAGGCCTAATGGTGCAGTGAATCAGAAAGGGTTCAGCTGCAAATTGGGTGATAAAAGATATGAGAATGTTACAACATGCCGGAAAATGTATAAATGCCTGGAATGTGGGTAGAGGTTCCATAGGAGTAGTGCACTAACTATGCATCAATGGATTCACACAGCAGAAAAGCCATGTATATGCTCAGAGTGTGGAAAGTGCTTCTCTCAGCACAGCAGCCTAACCAAACATCAAAAGATTCACACAGGGAAGAAGCTGTACAAGTGCTTGGAGAGTGGAAAATGCTTTATACAGAATGCCCACCTAACTAGACACCAGGAGGTTCACACAGGGGAGAAGCCATATAAATGCTTGGAGTGTGGAAAGTGCTTCTCTCAGAATGGCTGCCTAATGAGACATCAAATGATTCACACAGGGGAGAAGCCATATAAATGCTTGGAATGTGGAAAGTGCTTCTCTCGGAATGGCAATCTAACTGCACATCAAGGAATCCACACAGGGGATTTGCCATATAAATGCTTGGAGTGTGGAAAGTGCTTCCCTTGGAAAGCTGACCTAACTAAACATAAAAACATTCACACAGGAGAGAAGCCATATAAATGCTTAGAGTGTGGAAAATGCTTCTCTCAGAATGCCCGCCTACAAAGACATGAAAAGGTTCATGCAGGGGAGAAGCCATATAAATGCTTGGAGTGTGGAAGGTGTTTCTCTTGGAAATTTGTTCTAACTAAACATCAAAAGGTTCACACATGGGAGAAGCCATATAAATGCTTGGAGTGCGGAAAGTGCTTCTCTCAGAATTTCAACCTAACTAGACATCAGAAGGTTCACACATGGGAGAAACCGTATAAATGCTTGGAGTGTGCTAAATGCTTATATAAGTGAAAAGCCGTATAAATGCTTGGAGTGTGGAAAGTGCTTCTCTCGGAATGGCCACCTGAATGCATATCAAAAGATTCCCACGAGGAGAGAGGCCATATAAATGCTTGAAGTGCTGAGAGTGCTTTTCTCCAAATGGCAACCTAACTAACAATTAAAAGAGTTACATAGTGGAGAAGCCGTGTAAATGCTTGGAGTGTGGAAAGTATTTCTGTGAGAATGGCACAGTAGAAGCCTTACCTTACACCACAAGAGCCTTCCAGTCATAGTTAGCATGTAGAAAACCAATTCAAATGGGTGATCTTGCCAGTTTGTAGCTGTCAGGCAGAAGCTATCTTAAAATAATTTTTCAGTCTGTTCTGCCTAACTTCAGCATTCTCTTACCTTCATAGAATCATAGAATGTTGGAAGGGACCTTGCTGGTCATCTAGTCCAACCCCCTGCATTCTGCAGGAGCATAGCCGAAAGATAGCCCTACAACATACCCGAAAAATGGTAATCCAGCCTCCACTTAAAAACGTCCAGCGAAGGAGCATCCACCACCACCCGAGGCAGTCTGTTCCACTGCTCAACCACTCTTACAGTTAGGAAGTTTCTCCTAATATTTAGCCGGTAACGACTCCCTTGTAATTTCCACCCACTTTCTGAGGGTGTTGGCCACACATTGGTGGATACTTGCTAAGGCCTTCCAGTCAGGCTTTCTAATTAGCTGATATAGTTCAGCTGTGAATCTGGTAGGGGAGGGGGAACTCTCACTGACCCTGGGAAGTTCCATGAATACTGTCCAATGATTGGTTGAGGAGGTCACAAGGTTATGGCCTGCAGTTTTCAGTAAGGTTAGTGAGAAGATATGTTGACGAAGGCTTTCACGGCTGGAGTTCATTAGCTGTTGTAGACTTTCCAGGCTGTATGGCCGTGGTCTTGGCATTGCAGGACCTGACGTTTCGCCAGCCGCTGTGACTGGCATCCTCAGAGGTATAACACAGAAAGATGGAGTACTCTCTGTGTCAAGGTTGAAGGTTGAACTGTGTCAGGTTAGTGAGAAGAATTACTCGTTTCTTTTACTATTTCTCCCCGCATCTCGTTGCTACCAAGAAGACGCTTGTATTTTGCTCCGGGACTCTTTGCCTCAAGAGTCAACAACAGCACGGTGTTAAGACTCCCATAAAATGTAGCTAGTTTTAGCTTTGTTATTTTTGTCCATTTTCCTGCCACTGATTAATATTCCCTTTTTCTACCTTTTGCTGAATTTCTTCAATAAAGCCCTTTTCTTTTCTTGCTTTATTGTATGTATGATTTGGGTGTTAATGAGACTGCGCTCAGGTAGAGCTTGGCTACGCTTCTGCACTGAGGCAAGGTCAGCCTTGAGAGTAGCTCTGACCAACATGGCAGCTTCCCTGGACAAGAGCCGTCGCTCGGCCTGTTCCCCTCCTTTCTGTCCACGCCTCCCCCTTTTTCTCAGCTCAACCAAATATATGTAGTGCACCTTTTCTTTTTCTTTTTAAAATTTTTATTTTACCATTTAAAGGGGTTCAGAATAAAAAGGGACAAAAGGGAAAGTGAGAATCATGAAACATCATTGGTTAAAGGCATTTTAAGAACATTGTATAATATAAGAATATAAAACATGAAAAAATAATGTCAAAATATGGTAAGATAATATTTCAACAAAATATATTTCCGTATATATTTCCATTATTTCCTATCTATAGAGCTAGGTAAAAAAACATAGGCAAGGAACATAAGAGAAGAAAAGAATGAAGAAAAACATTTTTCTTATCTTTATATAAGGTTTATACTATTACATAATAACGAGTAAGTATGTAGTTATGCAAGATGAATGAATATAATGAGAATATGATTATATGGTTTTGAGTATTCATTTAAAGTTCTTTGTAACTCCTCTAACAACTTTATCTAATCTATGTAGTTTGTAGTAATTATAAAAGATTTCCCACTTATTCTCAAATTCAGTGATCGGCTTTTTATTTATATAGTTTGTCATTTTTGCCATAACAACATATTTCTTCTATTTTGTCTCTCCAGTTCTCAAGATTTGGGCAGATTTCAGACTTCCACTTGGTTGCAAATACTAGTCGTGATGCGGTTAACATATATCTAAACAGCTCGTGCTCTAATCTATTTATATTAGATGGTAAGATACCAAATAGCATAGTCTGAGGTTTCATGGGAAATTTTAAGTTCAAGATTTTCTGCATTTCAGTGTGTATTTCTGTCCAAACTTTTTTGGTCTTTTTGCAGTATCACCACATATGGTAAAAGGTACCATCCCGTCTTTTTACATTTCCAGCACTTTTATAATTTTTATCAATTTTCTCAGTATCTTTTTGAATAATATACCAATGGTAGAACATCTTGTACCAATTTTCTCTAAGTGCTTGACTTGCTGTAAACTTTATATCTTTCATCCATAAACCTTCCCACTGATTAAGTGAAATTTCTTCATCAAAATTCTGCATCCATTTCACCATGCATGTCTTAACTAGTTCCGTTAACTCTTTCTACACGTATTGCTTCTTTAAGCCTAGACGTAAGTTGAAGATAAGTTAGCCATTGTATCTTTTTTTCCTTCATTCATTGTCTGCCAGGATTTAATTTTGCCTTGAGAGTCGATCATATCTTGATATGATAAAATCAGAGTTTTTTCTTGTAGGGTTGTCATAATTTGCCTCTTGGTGATATTATAGGTGAGATTGATGGGCTAATTCTTGTTTTCATAGACCGCCAAATTGTCAATAGACAATCTATAATTATGTGGGACTTCATTGCCTTTTTTTGGTGATCTTCCTGTTTGTTTTATCCCTTCAGTCAAATCCACTGTTTCTAATTTCATCAGTCTTTCATTCAGATTTTTGATCCAACTGGAAATCCATACCAGGCCAGCTGCTTGATAATACAACTTAAAATTAGGTACAACAAAGCCTCCCCCCCCCCCAAATCCTACAGCACTGCACTTTAAATCTAATTCTTGGTTTGACATTCCAGATAAATGTATTGATTTGTTTTTGCCAGTCTTTCAGCATCTTGGCAGGTATGTCAACTGGGACCATCTGAAATAGAAAGGGTTTTTTGGTAAGATATTCATTATTACTGTAGAAATTTCTCCAAGCCATGAGAACTTTAATTTAGACCATATTTCCAGGTCTTTTTGTATTTTCTTCCAAATTTTATCCTAGTTATCTTGCAATAATGTATCTTTTCACCTTACACATTTATTTCCAAGTATTTTATTGCGTGATTTACCAAATCACATCCAGTAACTGTCTTGATATTGTCTTCTTCTTGCTTTGTGAAGAATTTGGGGGTTATATTAGTTTTTTTCAGTTTATTTTAAATCCTGAAAAGGACCCAAACTTCTCTACATGCTCCATAACATGTTGTATAGAGTTCTGTGGGTTTAATATTGTCAACACCACATCATCTGCATAACTGTTTAACTTAAATTCTTCTCTGTTAACTTTCAGTCCTTTAACATTTTGATCTTGTCTGATTCTTCAAGTAAAAACTTCCATTGCAAGAATAAATAACAGTGTTGATAAAGAACATCCTTGTCTTGTCTCCTTTTCAATCTGGAATCCATCTGTTAAAAGTCTGTAATTCTTGCCATCGGGAGTCTAATTTACAACATTACGTATCTCCCTTCAACATCTTTCAATTCTTCTATACATTGATTCGCTGGTTTGTTAAATAAATTGCTACACCTTTTTTCTTCTCATTCGTAGAAGATGCGTATACCGTGCCCAATTATTCTTTAAAATATGTTCATGTTGTTTCTTTTCTTTTTTTTCTTCATGTTGTTTCTTGAAGACAATGTCTGCTTTTTTAAAATAAATGTTTTAGATCATTTTGTAGGAGAATTTAATACATTGATGTTTATTGATATCACAATCAGATTATCCATTTTGTTATAATGCTGTTGCTTGGTCTAACTTTCTTTCTTTGTTATCTGTATCTTCCTTGTCATTTGGTTTGATATTTTCTAGTAATAAGTCTTCTGCAGGCTGTTTTGCTTGTTCAATTGAAGAGATAATTCTGCCTTTTGGTAGCTGCACTTCTAATGCACATGGTATTCTTCAGCAGTATTTTATATCTTTCTTTTGTAGAATTTGTCTTAAAAAATCAAAATCTCTTATTTGCTTCAAAAGAGTGGAGGGGAGGTCTTGAAAAAATTTATATTTCTGTCTTGTGAATTTTGAGAGGAGAAGCTTACTGTTTGCTCAGGATAAAATCTCTTGTTTGTTTATGTGTGAATTTCACCAGTATGTCACGTGGCAATTAATTTCTGATGGCAGATCTGGAGTTGGCTCTGTATATTTGGTTGATATCCCAGGAGTCTCATTCAATCTTGTAATGATCTTGTAACAACTTACAAAAGTAATCTTCAAGCTTAGTTTTGCCAAAATCTTCTGGAACTGAACGAAACGTGAGGTTACAATGTCTATTCTGGACTTCTGAAATTTCAGTTCTTTTATTTGCTCTTTCCAGCAGTTGATCATGTACTTCTTGATGTAGTTTCAGTTCTTTATGTTGTCTTTGGACTTGAACAATCTTTTCCGTGTTTTCTTGAATCTTTTTTGGGGATTGTGCAAGTCCTGTGGTTATATCTGTTCTTAAAGTTGAAAATTCCTTTTTCATACGTTCAGAAGTATTTTCTTGACCTTGCTTAACTTGCTTAATCTGCTCCTGAATTTCTTCTTCAACCTTCTGGAACTGAACGGAAAAAAATTGGTCTTCAGTTTGTTTAATTTGGGAGATAAGTGTGTCTGTGATTGTATTTGTCTGAATCGACAAATTATTGTGGAGTTTTTCTAAACATTCCGCCATGCCAGACTCCTCTTGTTCTTCAGTTTTCTTTTTTCATTTGGTTTGTGATGTCATTCTTTGTCTATATCTTCTGTGTAAACTTTTCATTTACTTATTACACCAACATGTGCACAGTATTATTATTATTATGGGTGTAAAACACTTCAAATTAACATTCAACAAAATATCTGTTAACTCAATATGAGAATAATATTCTTTGGAAACTTTAAGGTTCAACTTATACAGCAGGCCTAGTCACAATATGTTATAAGTATTTTAAAAAACTCTACAGATCTTTTTAAAAATATATTTTCTGGCAGTTAATTTATGCTGATGGCACCCAGCTATTTCTGCTGATGGGCGGCCAATCTGATGCCGTTCCCATGAATTTAGCCGAGGGTTTGGAGGCTGTGGTTGGATAGCTAAAGCAAAGTCAGTTGAAGCTGGACCCAGATAAGACAGAGGTTCTGTGGCTGGGTGGGGGTGGGCCATGGTTGGGTTGTCAAGTCCTGGCTCTGTACAGAGTTCCCCTTTCACTGGCACCAACTGTCAAGAGCCTGGGCGTGACCCTGGATGCCAACCTGTCAATGGAGGCCCAGGTCACAAAGGTTGCCAAGTTAGCATTTTTCCAACTGCTCCAGGATCGGCAGCTGGCTTCCCTACCAGTCCTGCTGTGACCTAGCCATGGTAATCCATGCAGCCATCTCCAGGATAGACTACTGTAACTCGCTCTACACGGGCCTTCCCTTGAGGTTGACCTGGAAGCTCCAACTGGTCCAGAACACGGCTGCACGGGTCCTTACAGGTACCCCCCGGATGGCACACATTCAACCTGTGCTGTGCAAGCTGCACTGGCTTCAAGTGGAGCACCGGATCAAGTTCAAGGAATTGGTTTTGACCTTCAAGGCCCTTGCTGGTCAGGGACTCACATACCTTTGGGACCACCTCTCTCAGTATGCATACCCCTGTTATGCGTTTCAGTATGATTTATAAGCTGCCTTGAGTCACAGGGAAAAGTGGGATATAAATATCTGAATAAATAAGTAGTTTGGGCAGGTTGATAACATGTAAGCAACTTCCTGTTTGTTAGGTTAGGCAGCATTCTGACAGTGATTGTTCCACACACGGGCCTTCCCTTGAGGTTGACCTGGAAGCTCCAACTGGTCCAGAACACGGCTGCACGGGTCCTTACAGGTACCCTCCGGATGGCACACATTCAGCCTGTGCTGTGCAAGCTGCACTGGCTTCAAGTAGAGCACCGGATCAAGTTCAAGGAATTGGTTTTGACCTTCAAGGCCCTTGCTGGTCAGGGACTCACATACCTTTGGGACCACCTCTCTCAGTATGCATACCCCTGTTATGCGTTTCAGTATGATTTATAAGCTGCCTTGAGTCACAGGGAAAAGTGGGATATAAATATCTGAATAAATAAGTAGTTTGGGCAGGTTGATAACATGTAAGCAACTTCCTGTTTGTTAGGTTAGGCAGCATTCTGACAGTGATTGTTCCACTTCTGTTATACTTGACCTGTAATGCTGGTTGAGAGAGCTCTAGGCATAACATTTCAGATTTGGCTCTTCTGCTAGAGTTACTTGTTTGTGTATGTGGTCCAAGTAGCATGGTCACTATCTGTTTTACTAGGATTATCTGGTAGAAAAGCTAGCAAATTTTAGTCCTTGAACCACTGATGTAGAGGCAGGGACGTTTCTGTCTTTCCCAATCTTGGGGTACCAGCCATAGCAATTTATGGAACAGATCGTTCCCCCCTTTTATTTCCCCATTGAGAGGCCTGCTCTTTCTTGTCACTGATTCACTGTCGTCATTTTCCCCACCCCCTAGGCAGCAACCAAAGGCAGATGAAGAAGAAGGCCACTGAGTTGGGAAGAGTTAAGCCCGTGGGGATCAGTAGACTGTCATTCAAAAGCACTGAAGGGAAGCCATCGCTGAGTTCTGAGGTGGAAGGGTGTCCTGAAAGCCAACAGAGACCCAAAAGGTGCCAGAAAAGCCCACCACGGAAGATGGCCAAAAAATCCTTTCCTTGTGAGGATGGTGACTCTGGCATGTGCAAAATTGTTGCCCCAGAAGGAATCCGCAGGAGTAAGAGAAACAGCATCCACGGAAAAACATTCCCTCAGAACTTTGGCTTTCTAAATAATCAGAAAATACAAGCAAAGGAAGACTTGTATAAATGCTCCCGCTGTGGGGAAACCTTTCGCAGTAGAGCCTTCCTTGTTACACACGAGAGAACGCACACAGGAGGGAAACCATACAAATGCACAGAGTGTGGGAGAAGCTTTAATTATAAATCAAATCTTAGTAGGCATAAGGGGATTCACTTAGGCGAAAAAGCGCATAAGTGCTCAGTTTGTGGGAAAAAGTTTGGATACAGAGCACTACTTGTGGTACATGAGAGGACCCACACGGGGGAGAGGCCCTATGGATGCCCAGACTGTGGAAGGAGCTTTAATCAGCTAGCAAACCTTGGTAAGCACCAGAGGACCCATACAGGTGAGAAGCCGTACGAATGCTCGGAGTGTGGGAAAAGCTTTGCTACCAAGGGTACTCTTATCACTCACCAAAGAATACACACAGGAGAGAAACCGTTTAAGTGTTCAGAGTGCAGGCAAGGTTTCAGTCAGAAAGGGAATCTTCAAAAGCACATGATGACCCACACGGGAGAGAAACCATACGAATGCTCAGACTGCGGGAAGACTTTCAGCCTGAAAGGGCAACTCATTTCGCACTCACGGACCCACACAGGAGAGAAACCCCACCAGTGCTCAGACTGTGGAAAGAGGTTTGGGGATAAAACCGCTCTTACCATGCACCAGAGAACTCATACAGGTGAAAGACCATACAAATGCTCAGCCTGTGGAAAAAGCTTCAGTAAGAAGCAGGGCCTTTCTGTGCACAATAGAACCCATACAGGAGAAAGACCATACAAATGCTTGGATTGTGGGAGAGGCTACAGCCAGAGGTCAAATTTTGTTCATCACAAGAGAATCCATACGGGAGAGAAACCATATCAATGCACAGAGTGTGACAAGAGCTTCAGTTTTAAAGTATCCTTCGTTCACCATAGAAGAACCCATACAGGGGAGAAGCCATACGAGTGCTCAGAGTGTGGGAAACGATTCAGGCGCAAGCACCATATCATGAAGCACGAGAAGATCCACACGGGAGAGAAGCCATTTTCCTGCCCAGACTGTGACAAATGTTTTAATGACAAAGGCAGCCTGCGTCTGCACAAGAGAACTCACACCGGAGAGAAGCCATATGATTGCTCTGAATGTGGCAAAAGCTTTCGTTACAAGCAATATCTTGTTGTACATGAAAGGACTCACACGGGAGAGAAACCCTATAAGTGTACAGACTGTGGCCATAGCTTCAGTCAGAGCTCGAACCTTGTGGTGCATAGGCGGTCCCATACTGGGGAAACGCCATACAAATGTTCAGACTGCGGTAAACGTTTCAGGTATAGCACTGTTCTCGCAGAACATAAGAGAACGCACACGGGAGAGAAACCATATAAGTGTTTAGAGTGTGGGAAAAAGTTCTCCAGTACCTCTAGTTTTTCTAAACATCAGAAAATCCATACATGAATGGAGCAGCATTCAGATTATGGGGTTGGGTGTAGAAAGAAAGGCCCACGAAAACTTAAGCCATGTTCTACAAACTTTAAAAGTGGCAGCAGGTGCATGTTATTGCACTGGAATGGCACATCTAGGGTTGCCAGCTCTGGATTTGGAAATTCCTGGAGATTTTGGAGGTGGAACCTGAGGAGAGCATGATTTGGGGAGGGGAGGGATTTCGGTGGGGGTATGATGCCACAGAGCTCACCTTCCAAAGCAGCCATCTGCTCCAGGGGAACTGATATCTGTTGCCTAAAAATCATTTGTAATAACAGATCTCCAGCCACCACCTGGAAGGTGGTAACCCTGGCCACATTACAGAGTTTGCGTTGTATTACTAAACATAATTTTTCAACCAGCCTTAACCTTTTCACAGGGTGAATGGGATTAAGAAAGCGTGTAAACATATACATTCATAAGCTTTCAGTTTTAGTTGATGCGTATGAGGTAGGTTTTATGTTTTGTGTGTTCTCTTTCCCAATTAAATTCTACACTTAAAGAGGTCATATTTCTTGTGTCTGTTGGGGGAAGGGATAGCTGCAGGATAGTCTGAAAGGTTAGAATCAGGATCTGTGCAATGGTGCCGTGGTCAACAGGGTCTTCAGAGCAGAGTTTGAATGAAACCAGGGCTGGCATTAGTATACCGTGAGGTAGGGCAGCTGCTAGGGCCCCAGCATTTCTGGAAGAAGAAGAGATGGTGTTTATACCCCATTTTTCTTTACCTTAAGGAGTCTCAAAGCAGGTTGTTCGCCTTCCGTTCCTCTCCCCACAACAGACACCTTGTGAGGTAAATGGGACTGAGAGAGTTGTGAGAGAACTGTGACTGGCCCAAGGTCACCCAGCAGGCTTTTTATGGAGGAGGGGGTGTGGGGGATCAAACCCAGTTTTCCATATTAGAATCTGCTGCTCTTAACCACCACGCTATGCTGGCTCTCAAGAAGAAGAGTAGATTTGTTATACCCTGCTTTTCCCTACTCTGAGGAGTCTCAAAGTGGCTTACGATCTCCTTCCCTTCCTCTCCCCACAACAGGCATTTTGTGAGGTAGGTGGGGCTGAGAGAGCTCTGAGAGAACAGTGACCAGTCCAAGGTCACCTGGAAGGCTTCCAGTTCTCCAGATTAGAGTCCTTCACTGCTCTTCATCAATTACACCACGCTGCCAGCACCCCCTGCCCAATCACTTGGTAGCAAACATGAATGTGTCTATTGAGGGGAAGGGAGAGGATTTCTGCAGGTGGGAGGGGAAGGAGGGTATGAATGCCTGGTGGTTGGTTGAGGAAGGGAGGGCAGGGGGTCCTGTGAACTCCCTGCCCAAGGCTTCCCAAAACCTGGAACCCACCCTGACTGAAACTACAGACACTGAGTGTCATAACAGACCATCCAACATCTCATAGCCAAAATGTGACACTCCAGTTTTTGCACCAAGGAGCACCTCTTAAACCCTCCCCCCACCCATTTGACATTGTCACTTTACAATGTGCCTGTATATTCATTAAGGTGCTTTACTTCTGCACTTTTAAAAGCCTGGTGGGTGCTTGTTCTTTTGGTCTAAGAGAGATTACAAACCTCGTGACTAGCAGATTATCAGTGGTTCAAAATACAGCAACTGCAGGACATGGAAACAACCAGGGCTATTTTGGGGCAGGAACGGAGTTCCGGCTGGCTCCTGTGTAGGCCACGCCCAGCAGGAACTCATTAGCATAACAGGCCACACCCAACAGCAGACACTCATTGGAATTGGCTACAACCTTGAAACATTTGGCAGAAAGCCATTCTTACATATTCTCCATCAGTTTTTTCCTGGTGGTGAGAAATTACTTGTGTGTGTTCCATACTCTGATCCTATGTATTTTTACTCAGAAGTAAGTCCCACAATGTTCAGTGGGGTTCATTTCAAAACAAAAGTGTATAAAATCGTGGCTAAGCAGTCTGTTCCTAAGTATATATCCCTCTAAGCTGCGGAGTCTTGGGAGCACAAATTCTACTTAGTGAGCGGCCGGCATTAAAGTTGTGAGCGAGCGATTTGGCTGCTGCATCCATCAGTTTGCTCTGGAGCCCTCCTCCCTGAGCTAAGACAAAAATGTGTGAGCCGGAGGCTAAAAAACTGTGAGCTAGCTCACACTCATTCAGCTTAGAGGGAACACTGGTAGCCATGCTAGTCTTGTCTGTAGCAGCAGAAAAGAACCAGAGTCCAGGAGCACCTTCAAGACTAACAAAATTTGTGGCGGATGATGAGCTTTCATGAGTCACTGTTCACTTCTTCAGATACAGCTAGAACGTGACTCCGTCTGTCCTTGGAGAGTGGAGTGGTTTCAGATAATGAATGACAACAGCAGGTAACTAACTCAGAAATGACTAACTACAGAGAACCTGTACAAGGATTAGGGAAAGGGTTTCAGATAGGGTTGCAAACTGAGGTGGGAAATTCTTGGGGAGGGGGCAAAGTAGCCATTTTCTCCAAGTCAACTGACCTGTGAACTGTGGAGATCACTTGTCATTCCAGGAGATCTTCAGACCCCATCTGGAGGTTGGCAACCATACCTTCAGACCAGATGGTGTTTAATGATTCTGGAACATTTCCTGGCATGGGAGAAAGAAGTAACAACAGTGCCCTTCTGGCTGGCCAGCTACCCCTACTAAGCCTCTCCATGTAGCATGTGGTATCACTGAATGTTACTAGTTGTCTTTTAATGCTTGCTATGCAAGGAGATCAAATCAGTCAATCCTAAAAGAAATCAACCCTGACTGTTCCCTGGAAGGCCAGATAATGAAACTGAAGCTCAAATACTTTGGCCACCAAATGAAAAGGGAGCACTCACTGGAGAAGACCCTGATGCTGGGAAAGATTGAAGGTCAAGGAAGACGGGGACGGCAAAGGATGAGATGGTTAGACAGTGTCATCGATGCAACGAACATGAAGTTGAGCAAGACCGGAAGGCCTGGTGTGATCTGGTCCATGGAGTTGCGAAGAGTCAGACTCAACTGTGCGACTGAACAACAACACTGCTGGACCTCCTGATGGCACTGGTATTTCTGGCCACTGTGTGACACAGAGTGTTGGACTGGATGGGCCTTTGGCCTGATCCAACATTGGTGTCTCTTATGTTCTTATGTTCTTAACAACAATGTGCATTGGTATAAATTGTGCTCAGGACAGGTGATCCTATGCTGACTACAACCCCTCTCCTCCCCAGTCCTGGTTATATTACTAGTTAAGTATTTCATCCGTATTTATCACAGAGTTTCTGGAGGAATGATATGGAGGTGGGATGGATGCAATTCACATTTATCATGTCTGGGTGGGTGGCAGAGTGCATGAGACCACAGAAAAATTGTTATTATGGATCAGACCAAGGACTATTTAGTGTGGCCTTTTGTTTTCAAGAAGGTGATAGAGTCCCCTTGCCCCTGCATCCAGTACTAAGAGATATACTCATTCTGTACATGGAGGCTCCATTCTTAGCACGTAAGCCAGTCAGCAGTGAATACTTTCTAAGGACATTCGAATCCCTCCATCTAGTCCCGTATTGTTTCCGATGCTACCCAGGAAGCTTTTAAAGAAAGCATGAAGTCCACTGCTTGTCCTCTTTAGTAACTGGCATCCTGAGGTAGACTGCTCCTTTATATGAAGGTTCTACTCAGCCATCACAGCTAATAGTTATCCCCTTTGAATTTCTCTAACCTTGAAACATTTGGCGGAAAGCCATTCTTACATATTCTCCATCAGTTTTTTCCTGGTGGTGAGAAATTACTTGTGTGTGTTTCACAATCTGATCCAAGGAATTTTTTCAAGTCCCACAATGTTCAGTGGAGTTCATTTCTAAACAAAAGTGTATAAAATTGTGGCTAAGCAGTCTGTTCCTAAGTATATTTATGTCAGACTCCTGGAAAATTATGCTCTGAATAACCCTCTCTTTGCAGTGATACGTTTATTGATGCAACTCCAGGGTGGCCACTTGCTGTGTCAGAACCGAAGTACAAGGCGGGAAAATTACAGATATACAAAACTTAAGCTGGACACACACCACATCCAGGGCCTGCACCCAATCAGTCATTCCCATCCAGCCCACCAAAAGCAATGGTTCGCCCCCCCCTTAATTATGCAGACTAGGCAAAGCTGGGTACCAAGGTCATTCTACTTCCCAGAGGGAGATAAGGCTTATGCAGTTTCAAAGCAAGGCACATCGAAAGTATCTCAAGCACTCACACACCACCTCTCCCTCCTGTTGCCATGGCAAATGATTATAGCGTTTGACAACTTATTCAGAAGCAAGATATTCCTCCCTCTAGTAAAGCAAAAAATTCCCGTTTTACTATCTGATGCCATGATGCCAAAGCAGCCATTGCTGCCAGGTGGAAGACAAACTGATACCTACCCACTCTCCCTGGCTTCAGAAAATTTGAGAACTGTACATAATTGACAGGATCTGACCTGACCTCACCTGTCTTACACTCATCTCTAACTTAATTGCTATGTGGTTTCCAATATGCAACGAGAGGTGATTCCGAGTGAAATTGACTCTCTACAGCGACTATAAAGAGTAAAGGTAAAGGTTCCCTTGCTCGAAAGCCAGTCGAATCCGACTCTAGGGTTGCGGTGCTCATCTCCGTTTCAAAGCCGAAGAGCCAGCGCTGACCGAAGACGTTTCCGTGGTCATGTGGCCAGCATGACTAAACACCAAGGCGCACGGAACGCTGTTACCTTCCCACCGAAGTGGTACCTATTTATCTACTTGCAATTTCTTGCTTTCGAACTGCTAGGTTGGCAGGAGCTGGGACTAGAGACGGGAGCTCACTCCGTCATGCGGCACACTCGGGTCTCGAACTGCTGAACTACCGACCTTCCACAGTCTGCAGTTCAGCGTCTTAACCACTTGAGCCACCGCAGCTCTTGATATTCATTTACTCTGTATATATTCTTTCTATATTGT